CCACATAAGCAGAAAAAGCTGGAAGTGGCGCTGTGACTCAAGTGGTAGAGCGCTAGCCTTGAGCTGAAGAGCTGAGGGACAGCGCCCAGGCCCAGAGTTTAGACCCCACAACCAACCAAAAAAAAAAAAGTCTCATGGACTTTCCTGACCCGGCTGGCTTTGAACCACCACCCTCAGCTCTCAGCCTCCTGAGTACCCAGGATTACAGGCATGAGCCACTGGAGCCCAGCTCACTTCCACATTTTTACTGGCTAAAATAAATGACTGGCTTCAAACCAGGATCTTCAGATCTCAAGCCTCCTGAATAACTAGGATTACACATGTGAGCTACCAGTGCCCGACCCACCATCATCTTACTGACTTGGAGGAAGGTAATAACAAGGACATCCAGAGAGAAACTGTCTTACTCCCCATACCTGCACCAAACTAATCTCCTGTGGAGGAGGAAGGTGTTAAGCAAGTATTTTGTTTTTTTCCCCAAATTAAGAACCACAATGGTCTGGGAATGGGGCTTAGTGGTAGAATGCTTGAATAGCATGCATGAAGCCCTGGGTTTGATTCCTCAGTACCACATAAACAGAGCCTGAAGTGGTGCTGTGACTCAAGTGGTAAAGTGCTAGCCTTGAGCAAAATAGCTCAGGGACAGTGCCCAGGCCTTGAGTTCAAGCACCAGGACTTGGGTTGTGAGGTTCTTCCCCAGGGATGACAAGAGCCCTTAGCTTAGTGTTCTGTCTTGACTCATCCTGGTTCAATCACATTGGCCATTCAGGAACTTGAACTTCCTGTCCAGGAGTAGAAATGAGCAATCTCACATAGCCTTAAGTTATTGGGGAGTGGGGGATACAGAGGGGTGAAAACCAAATCAAACCAAACAAAAAGCCAAACTCAAGTAATCTGCCGTAAGGAAAGCTACCTCTTCAGTCAGCATTATGATCAAGTCAGCTTTCAGACCACCATACAGTCTGAAAGTGATAATGATCCAGCCAGACATAAGCAGTTGATGACATGATTGACCTTTGGTCAAACCAGGAAGTGGGTCTGCACAGAGAGCCCTGAGCTTTGCTCACACTGATCCACACGCTCTCAAAGATCAGAGCCTTCGCCTTTGTTTTTATTCAGGTTACTAGAAACAATTGCTGGCCCTTTCCTCCTGCCTGAGCTAGGCTTCTCTGGTCCCAATGTGGTTCCTGAGAAAGAAGCCCCTTTGACCGTGGGGCCCAGAATCATAGCAAATCATTTCACTCTAGATGAGAACTAGAAAACCTGGAAGTTGAACCTCTTCTCTCAGTGGGACCTTTTTAACTTGCTTCTATAGCTACCAAAAGTAGAAAACATCTCTCTTGTCTCATGGGGCTTTTTCTCTGGTGATCATGGAAGCCAGCCTATGTGGATGCTCTCAGAAAGTCTGAAACCTACAGAAATGTGTTACTCCTGTTAGTTCTATGGTCAGGATCCTGGGTCCTAGGTGGTTTGGTAACAAGGCTAGAGTTAGAGCTGGGGTGTGGCTCAGTGGTAGAGTGCTTATTACCTAGTGGGTATAAGGCCCGACTGATTCTCAGCACCCCACCCTATCCCCAAAGCAAAGGGCGAAGGTCAGTTCAGTATGAAGTTGTCTGAGACCTTATAAAATATTCTATGATTTCTGAACCTCAAAAATACTAAAACTCCTGGGCCACAGTACAGAACATGAGATTTAAAACCTTTGAGTGCCAGGCTCCTGTAATCCTAGCTACTCAGGAGGATGAGATCTGAGGATCTGGGTTTGAAGCCAGCACGGGCAGGAAAATCTATGACACTCTTGTTAGAGAGCTAGAAAAGAGAGAAAATAGTTAGAAAAGAGAAGAGCTAGAAAAGAGCAGAGAGAGGGTGTCTGGGCCTGAGCTAGGCCCTTATCTAGGGTATGGGTGGAGAAAGGTGTGGCCACATCAAATTCAGATGTGACCTCAGCGGTTGCAGATGTGACCTCTTCCAGGTGTCCCAGTTGCCTAGGTAACGCAGGTACTAGGTGGAGACTTTGCTGCGAGGAGGGTGGAGTCTGCTCGCCATCCAGGAGCAGACCTTACAACTCTGATCTCCAATTAACTACTGAAAAAGCTGGAAGTAGAACTGTGGCTCAAGTGGTAAAGCATCTAGAGTGAAAAAGCTTAAGGCAGCATCCAGGCTCTGAATTCAAGTTTCAGAACCGGCACCAAAACAAACAAAAAGGCTGCAGTGACTGATTCACTTAAGAATCAAAGCACATACGTAGCAATCAACTTGACTTCATTTCTTAGTAAAGACTAAAGAAAGGAGAAGGAGCTGGGAAGGTGGCTCAGTGGTAGAGTGCTCGCCTTGCATGCCAGAGGCCCTGGGTTCGATTCCTCAGCACCACATAAGCAAAAAAAAGAAAAAAGCCAGAAGTGGCGCTATGGCTCAAGTGGCAGAGCGCTAGCCTTGAGCTGAAGAGCTGAGGGACAGCGCCCAGGCCCAGAGTTCAGGCCCCACGACCGGACCCAAAATTAAAAAAAAAAAAAAAGGAGAAAATGTTTCTAAGTTAGCCATAGGAAACACTAATTCGGGGTACAGTGGTACATGCCTGCAATCCCAGTATGGGGGACAAGGGTCAGAGTGGGGGGGCCTAGACAGGAAGATGACTGAGGCAGGCCTACACTACTCTTGACTTGACACCCACCCCTAGGAATTTAAAAAAAACAACCTAATCAGTGAATACCTGTGTTTATACATTCTTGTACTATCAATAACCCTTCTGCTAATTCTGTAGGGGGTGGGGGGAGGAAATGAAGTCATGAAAAGGAAATGAAGTCACAAAGAAGTGACAGGGTTCTGTGGAATGAGCTCACTATTCCTCTTCTCTTGGGCTCCTGAACTGTACTGTACTTCCTCTCCTGCAGACAGGGGCAACATGTCTAGGTCATGGGCTGGAAAGGTCTTGCAGTAAACAATACCAGAGAGACTGCCTGCACAGGGCTAGACGGACCAGATGTGGCCAGCAGGGGGCAGAGTAGGGCCCAGGGAAGGGACTGAAGGCAGCTGGCCAGGGTTCTCTAGTCCTGGCTTGGGGAACTGTAGGGAGAGGCTGCTGAGCCTGTAGGGCCTCTGTCTGTCTATCTGCCTCCCTGAGTTGGTAGACCAGAAAGCAGGAACACAAGTGGGACAAGCAGCAGCCAGTCACCACTTCAAGTTCCCCAGCTATTAAATGGGACCAGAGACACACTTGGGGAAGACGCACTTTTTGGTAAGTGCATGAACCACACAATCTTCTGATCTCAGCCTCCTGAGCAGCTAGGGTGACAGGTATGGGTCACACAGGAGGCCAGCCTTTTGTTTTTGGAATAGTGTTCTGCCAACTTTTGTCCAGCCTGGTTTCAAATTCATCTTCGTATCTCTACCCCCCCCCCCCCCCCCAGGTAGCCGGGATTATAGGCACGTACCACCAGATCAGGCAGAACTCAGCTGTTTCTGACCCAGCCTTCACAGTGCCCTCACTAGAAAGTCAGGGCAGCTCATCAACTCAACTCCAGTGGGTCCAGCGGTGACTACCCAAGGCCCTGCCCCAAGAAAAACCCCCAATGGAGCTGGGGCGCCACCTCTGGAATGGGGGCAGGGCTTTCCTCCCGGAGCCAGCCCCTCCCTTTCAGGCCCAGGCCTAGGCCCTGCTCAGTAAAGCATGAAGGACGCCTTCAGGAAAGCCACAGGCACAAGGGCCTTTAAATTATGGAGCAGTTTCCATAGCCCCTCTCTCCGAAGAAGCCCAGGCACCTCAGCTAAATAATTCACCACCTCAGGAAGACCCAGTGGTTCTGGACACAGCAGAAGTAGGTCAGGCTTCAGCCCAGCCCTGGGTGGAGTCAGGTCCCCCCCCCCCCCCAGCTCTGCCATGTTATGAGGGGCTGCAGGCAACGGGTCCGGCTTGCTTTTGGCCAATGTGGTGAGGACTAGATAGGAAAGGCCCAACCATCTCTTCCTGGCACAAGTGCTGCCAACTCCTCTCCCTCTCCTCTTTGAGCCTGGGCCTCCTAGCAAACCATTATCTGCCACCCAGAGGCCCTGTGCTTGTCCATCTGATGCACATCAGCCTCGAGCCGGTCAGCTGACTGCAAGAAGCCAGCAGCAACGTCCCCAGACCCAAGCTGCCCAGTATGGGCCCTGAGTGAAGAAAGGGGTGACCCTAGGTGCAGGGGAGGCGGTGGCCTGGGCTGGTCACAGCCAGGGGAGTTTTGCTCAGAAAGTTGTGGAAGGACCTGCAGTACAAGTGAGGCAGGCCAGCGTGAATGGGATGGCAGTGGGGTATAGAGCAGCATTCCCAGGTGGGCATGGATGGACAAAGCTGACAGAACACCTCAGCTGGGCGCAGCCCTCTGGTAGGAGATAGAAAGGTTTCAAACCACCCCACAGACGAGGAACAGGATTCTCAGGGCAGTTCCAATGGGCTGACCCTGCCCAGGCCACCTCCGCTCTTGGCTCTTGGCGACCTCCATAAGGTTTGAGCCTTGATGTCATCCACAGCCTGTGGGGCAGTCGAACCCTGGTTGGGCGAGATTCCAGGGCCCCCTCCTCTCCAGCATAGCCCGGCAAGATGCACACCAAGGCAAGACAGAGTCCAGCACTCCAAACTTCAGTCCTTTCTTCCTAGAGGCCTCAAGACCACAGACCAGCAAGGTTGACGCCAAATCAAGGAAGGCCCAAAGAGAGAATGCAGGTCCATCCCTCTCAGATCTATCTGGGGTGGAGGGGAGGTGATTCTGAGTGCGGGCAATATTGGTCTGTACCCTCAGAACCCTAAGAATGAGGTGAACTCATCTAGCACAGTGTGGGCCGATAGACACGGGCCCAACTGTTGGACCCGGAGACTTGCTTCTGGGCCAGCCTGAAGAGGAAAGGAGAGAGAAGATGAGCGCTAGCGTCCTCCCAGCCCCCCCCCACCCCAGGTAGCAGGCTGTCCTCCGACTCAGTCCTCATCCCATGGAAAGTGGAAGCTGGAAGCAAAGGTCACAGAGAAGTCAGTTTAAATTTTTTCTTTTTTATTTTGCAATTCATATATTATCCAGTTTCACATTCTCACAGGATCAGCAATTACAACAACAGCCGCCCTGTCTCCCAAGTCTGAAAGGGCAGGGCAGTCAGATGCACGGCTGAAGGCGAAGCCCTGACAGGCTCACAAAAGAAAACAAAATTGCACAATTCCTGCTGTATTTCATCTTTCTTAAACCAACGCCTGACAAGAAGGCCCACTGCTGAAGAAGAGGGGGGTTAAAAAAAAAAAAACACCTTTTCTTCTTCTACAGGCCTCAAACGAAACATTAAACTTATCCGACAGGGCGAACGAGGTCTCTTCAATAATTAACGGTACACATGAAAAAGTCCTTTATGATGCATAAATATTTTGTTACACGGGGTACAAAAATACTTTCACGTTTTGGTTGGAGGCTTGGGGAGGAGCAGGCCAGGGAGGACAGTCTGTGTGTGGGGTTGGTGGACGGTGAAGGGAAGGTGGCCTGGGACGAGGCATGAAAGGTGCACACGGTGTACATGTTAGGTGGTGGGGGGGGGGGGGGGGGTGTTGGGGGAGTGGTCAAGCCTAGACTTGTTGGGGGACGGTGTGGGCGCTGGGCCCTCAGGGAGAAGTGGCCACTGGGCTCAGGGTGGGTCTGGAGGCCGGGTGTGGAGAGGACCAGGCATGATGAACCCTGAGTGCCAGGACCTGTTGCTATGGCGACAGTGTGGGAACAGTGTACACTCACATATACACAAGTTTGAAGTGTCTTAAAGCTGTGCCAGAGAACATGCAAAATTAAACGCCTCGTTCCCTTGAGGGGAGAGCTATGGAAGGGAGTTTGTGTGGAAAGTCAGGCCAGGCTGGGGTCCTAGTGAGGCCTCTGAGCAGGGTTTGGGGTGTCTCAGCCAGAAGTTCCCCAATCGGCCTGGAAGGTTTGGGAGCCAGGCTGTGGGGTGGGGCGGAGCAGGGCTGGGGAAGGGGAGAGGGGTCCGCTGAGGCAGGCTTAAGATTCACAGTGTCGGCAGGGCAGCGGCAGCTGTGCAAAAGCTGCGGGGAATGGAAGTCCGGGTCCTGCTCTGGCCCCACCACACAGTCCCAGAACCAACTCCCTGGTGAACAAGACCTGGAGAGGGGAAAAGAGGCGGCCATGAGTGGGGGAATAGGGCTTTGGGGGGGGGGGGGGGGATGAGGGAGTCTTGGGGTTGCCTAGCACTGTGAGCTCACTGGTAGAGGGACTTGGGCAGAGGGAGGACCCAAGGCCTGCAGGAAGCCACCGCCTGGAACCCTTTCCACCCCAGGCCTCTGGGGCCAGCACTTACCAAAAAAAACTAACAGAACTGGCGGTACTTCCATCCTTGCTGGGCGCTATCAGAGGAGGGGGTACCAGCGCACCTGCAAGGGAAGCCGGCGTCATGAGCCACATGGGACCCTTTGCTCTCAGCACCAGCATCTCTACTGTGGTGCTGGTTATCACTGACCACCTGGCAAAGCCTGGGTCGGTCAGTCACCTCTGAGAACCCTTCCTCCTGAAAACTGGAAAGCACACCTGCCTGCCTCCTCCATGGCAAAGGCTCAGACAGTCATAGAGACATGGCCACTCTACTGAGCACAGCCGTGTGTCAGGCTGTACCTGCCGGCAGGCAGGGGTCTTGGCAGCTGGGACCAATAACGCCAACAACCTGCCCTTCCCCTTTACTGCGAGATCCAAACTTCCTAACCTCACCAGGAAAATAAGCTTGATAACGTTTTGTGCTGCTTCTTGGTATACCAGTACCAGCTACCAGACAATGGATACAAAGATCAGGTAGACAGGGATGAAAGCACATCAAAAACCAAAGTCATGGGGCTGGGAAGGTGGCTCAGTGGTAGAGCGCTTGCCTTGCATGCATGAGGCCCTGGGTTCGATTCCTCAGCACCACATAAGCAGAAAAAAAAAAGCCAGAAGTGGCGCTGTGGCTCAAGTAATAGAGCGCTAGCCTTCAGCTGAAGAGCTGAGGGACAGCACCCCAGCCCAGAGTTCAGGCCCACGACCAGAACCCCCCGCCCCCAAAAATAAAATACCACCACTTATGGTTTTCCAGTGATCATAGTTCAAAGCCCTCCTGGGTGGAAAGTCCGTGAGATTCTTTTTTTTTTTTTTTTTGGTCGGTCGTGGGGCTTGAACTCTGGGCCTGGGCGCTGTCCCTCAGCTCTTCAGCTCAAGGCGAGCGCTCTACCACTTGAGCTACAGCACCACTTCTGGTTTTCTGGTGGTTTATTGGAGATAGGAGTCTCACAGTCTCTCCTGCCCGGGCTGACTTTGAACCGCGATCCTCAGATCTCAGCCTCCTGAGTAGCTAGGATTACAGGTGTGAGCCACCAGCGCCCGGCTAAGTCCGTGAGATTCTTATCTCCAATTAACCACCAGAAAACCAGTAATGGAGCAATGGCTCAAAGTGCTAGAGCTCTAACCTTGAACAAAAGAGCTTAGGGACAGTGTCCAGGCCCTAAGTTCAAGACCCACAACAAGCAAAAAAAGGGAAAACACATCAGGCCAGGTGCCCACAGATGTGAGCAAGGGCACCCACCTGAGTAGATTCTGCTAGCAGCAAGCAACAGACTTGCTACCCTACTGGGTACTGGGAACTGGGCCAAGCACCCCTGGAGATCTACATTACTAACAAGGGAAACTGTCCTAAGACTTCAGTTAAATGAAGAACTATGCACAGCAATTACAAAAGACTCACACTTATGGATTTCCTTATATACCTAATTCCCTATACCTCCCATATCTGAGGATTCCAAGTAGGTGCTGGTAGTGGGGCTTGAAATGAGAGCCTTGAGCTCTTGCTTGGCTTTTTTGTTTAAGACTGGTCTTACTGGAGCAACTTCCACTTCTGGCTTTTGGCTGGTTAATTGGAAGAGTCTCATGGAGTTTTCTGCCTGGGCTGGTTTGAAACCTGGATCCTCAGACCTCAACCTCCTGAATAACTAGGATTACAAGTGTCAGCTTAGGCCATCATCTTATATACCAAACCCCACAATGCCACCCACACCTACTCTCAGCCTCACCCCTTTGGAAGGCTAAATAGGATAGCTTTGTGGCAAGTCAGAGCAAGAGGGATGCAAGGCCTTTCCTTGCCTGCAGGCTGAGTCTCCATGGAGGCCTTGTTCAGTCTGGGTTACAGGGTAGTAGAAGGGCATGCAGTTGAGTGGGTAAAATGGGTAGAGAAAGCCATGCATTGGTGGCTCACACCTGTAATACTAGCTACTCAGGAGGCTGAGATGTGAGGATCATGGTTCAAAGCCAGCCGGGGCAGGAAAGTGGTTTATCTCCAATAAACCACTAGAAAACCGGAAGTGGTGCTGTGGCTCAAGCAGTAGAGTGCTTGCCTTGAGCTGAAGAGCGCAGGGACAGTGCCCAGGTCCAGAGTTCAAGCCCCACAACCGACCAAAAAATAAAAATAAAAAAAATTTTTAAAAATGGGGTGGAGAAAGTGGGTATTGACTCTCATCCCCCTCCACCCCCCTGTCTTTTAGCTGCTATGTTTTCTTGGTGTCACTGCTTGCTCTCTGTTTTCATGTTGGTCCCCTGGGCTCACAACAATCCACTCAGACTTGGGATCCAGTGTCCACCCTTTATTGAGCCACTCCTAGCCTCTATTTCTAGGGCAGTGCTGTCACGGGGCGAGGAGGAGGCTATTGGAAGGAACAGGAAAAAATAAAAAATAAATGTGTATACACACACACACACACACACACACACACACACTAAGCCAGGTGCCAGTGGCTTACACCTGTAATCCTTGCCACCTAGGAAGCTGAGATCTGAAGATCGTGGTTCAAAGCCAGTCTAAGCAGAAAAATCCATGAGACTTTTTTATTTTGGCTGGGGGCGGGGCAGTGGGGAGGGAGAAATTGGTTTTACAAACAACCTCATCTGTTACAATAGTAAATGAAGGGAGAAAATTTGTCTACTCTCCATCACAAGCAGCATCTGCAGACCAAGTCACCACATTTTGAGAGACTCCATGAGATACTTTAATTACCAAAAAGCTGGAAATGGAGCTGTGGCTCAAGTGGTAGAGCAACAGCCTTAAGTGAAAAAGCTCAGAGACAGCCCAGGCCCTGAGTTCAAGCCCCAGCATGGGAACCAAAGAAATTAAAACTGGAAAAAAAAAGTGTCACTATCTGCAATGTGCGCTTTCCATGCTTATTACAGTCATTCATTTCCTCAGAGCTTCTTTTATGGATGAAAAAAAAAGGGATACAGAGCCACCTGATGAGTAGTCTCTTAAAAAAATGCCTCATTCCTGGGGCTGGGAAGGTGGCTCAGTGGTAGAGCACTTGCCTTGCATGCATGAGGCCCTGGGTTCAATTCCTCAGAACCACAGAAGCAGAAAAAAAAAAAAAAGCCGGAAGTGGCGTTGTGGCTCAAGTGGTAGAGCGCTAGCCTTGAGCTGAAGAGCTGAGGGACAGTGCCCAGGCCCAGAGTTCAGGCCTACAACCGGATCCCCCCACCCCCCCCAAAAAAAAAGAAAAAGAAAAAAAATGCCTCATTCCTTTAGGGTAGCCTCTAATCCTTCCCAGGAGGCAGGGCAGAAGTCAGACACTGAGGTTTCAGAGAGACAAACAATGATGTTATTACACACAATCCTTGGCTCCCAAACTCTATATTGCCCAGCATCTCTGTCCACCCAATGCAATGCAGTCCAGCCTCTCCTTTTACAGATGAGGCTACAGAGGCCCAGGGGTGGAGATCACATAGCTACCCAGTGACAGAGCTGGGATAAGAGGCGAGGAGCCCTGTGAGGTGGGCTGTCTGATTTCCACTCATTGCTTTCCAGAACCCACGGGGTAAAAGCAGCTCCATATGCCAGGCACAGGTGGCTCATGCCTATAATCCTAGCTACTCAAGAGGCTGAGCTGTGAGGATCACAGTTTAAAGCCAGCCCCGGGCAAGAAAGTCCCTAAGACTTTTTTTTTTGGGTCCGGTCGTGGGGCCTGAACTCTGGGTCTGGGCGCTGTCCCTCAGCTCTTCAGCTCAAGGCTAGTGCTCTACCTCTTGAGCCACAGCACCACTTCCAGCTTTTTTCTTTTTGCTTATGTGGTGCTGAGGAATTGACCCAGGGCCTCAGGCATGCAAGGCAAGCGCCCTAACACTGAGCCACCTTCCCAGCCCGTCCCTAAGATTCTTATCTCCAATTTAACCACCAGAAAACCTGGAAGTGGTGCTGTGGCTCAAGTGGTAGAGCGCTCACCTTGTGCTGAAGAGCTCAAGATAGTGCCCGGCCCCGGATTCCCAGGCCCAGAGTTCAAGCCCCACAACTACCACCACCAACAAAAAAAGCAGCCCCACAGACCTGGTCAGGACAAACACAGAGGCTCCCCTGGCTTTGCTCTTGTCACAAAATCTGGTTTCTGCTCCTCCAGCTTCCTACCTTCAGATGACTGTCAGGCTCAGCTGGCGACAGCACCAAGTTTACCACAATTCTGCTCAGCATATTCAAAAGGTGCCATAGGGAGACTTCTCTGTAGGATAGCAGTCTTCTAAGGTAGTGACCTCTGAACCAGAACTTCGTACTTTGAATCTGGGCAAACCTTGACATCACTGAGCCCCCTCAGTGGGCCTGAAAATGGATACGCATTCAGCGCTCCCTAGGACCTCCCCTCCACCCCCAGCTACATCTTCCACTTTCTGGGAACTCTCTCCCTCCTTTCCTTCCTACTGCTCAGGCCAGGTAGCCATATACTGTCTTATAATCATTTCCCTGACTAGAGGCTGGGGTGGGATGGAGATACCCCTCAGCCTCCCTCCTAAGGCTACCTAGGATCATCCTGTCCACATTCCTGGTAATGTCCTGTTGTAGCCACTGTGAAGAATTGTCCACCCTCTCCCCACCCTGCAAACATACAAAGAGATGAGTCCTCCTGCTGTGGCATACTTCAGGGCCTACAATAACCAAGTCAGACAGAGTACAGCCTACATGGCCACGCCTCCTGGTGCAGCCCACGGCGCCCAACATCCCCTGAAGCACCTGCTCCTCAGTCCTGCACTGTGACAGCAGACAGTGTCCAGGCTTCATGGAAACCAGAGCAAACACTGAGATGCACAGACATCCAGACGTAGTTCTGGCCTCACATCAAACTCACAACCACCCTGAAGCATGAAATATTCTTCTCGTTTCCAGATGAGTAACATTCAAGGCACAGAGACCTTTAAAACCTTGAGGAAGGGCTGGGGAATGTGGCTTAGTGGCAGAGCGCTTGCATGCCCCGGGTCCAATTCCTTAATACTATATAAACAGAAAAAGCTAGAAATGGCATTGTGGCTCAAGTGGTGGAGTACTATAGCCTTGAGCAAAAGAAGCCCAGGGACAGTGCCCAGACTCTGAGTTCAAGTACCAGGATTGGAAAAACAAAAACCTTGAGGAAGCTGGGTGCTGGTAACTCATGCCTGTAACCCTAGCTACTCAAGAGGCTAAGGTCTGAGGATCTTGGTTCAAAGCCAGCCCTAGCAGGGAAGTCCATGAGACTCATCTCCAATTAACCCCCAGAAAACTGGAAGCAGAGCTGTGGCTCAAGTGGTATAGCACTAGCCTTATGCAAAAAGAGCTCAGGGACAGTGTGTAGGCCCTGAGTTGGGGCCGGGGGGCGGGGGGCGGTTGGGGGGAGTGGGAGGGAGGTAGAGGCTGAGGAAGTTCATAAAGACAGGAAGAGACAGAGGCAGTTGGTCAGGCTCAAGATAAGATTCAAATTGAATCCTGTAGCCACAGGTAGAGCAGAGCACAGGGTAGCCCTGGACTACGGTGTCCAAGGAGGCCAGGCATAGCCAGGCCTGAGCACCCACAGCCTTCTCCTGTGCTGCTTCCATGCGAACCCACTGTTCACATTCTCCCCACCATACCCTAAACCCTAATAGCAGGAACCTGTGGCTCTCTGAGTTCCGTTGCAGCCCTGCGGACACAAGTGGCCCACATCCCAGTAGGTGTGCAAAGCCTGGCAGCTTCAAGCCCTCCCACTCCTAAACCCAAAGCGGCTTACCTGAGCATGGAGAGCAGCAGTGGCAGCAGGGTAGGTGAATGCTGAATGGGAGATGGCCGGGGTCAGCTCTGTGGTGTACAGAGGGTAAGGAGCCCAGGCCTCTGAGGATGCAGGGATCAAAGCAGCCCCCATCAGGTCATCTATAACAGGACACAACGGCCTCCACTGTCAAACACTGCTCTCCCCTCCCGCCACCCCCTTCCAAAGGAGAAGGGGACTGGGTATGCTAGCTGAGCCATAAGCCCCAGAGGATAGACCCTTCCCTCTCTGAGGACCCCAAGACTCAGGAAGGAAGCTAGGGCAGCATATGGTGAATGCGCGATCTGTTCTAGAAGCTCTGACACAGGCCTCAGCCCATCTCAAGCATGGGAAATCAGAGAACACTTCAAGAAAAGTTGGGCGACTCTGACAGTTCAGAAGCCCAGTCCCTTTGAGGTTCAGATAAGGGATGAATAAGGAAGGAGGAGGCCAGGAAGGCTGAGACAGCTGACTATGATCCAAGAACCTCCTCCCCTCCCCCAGAAACTCCCAGCATTCCATCCCACCTGAAAAGGGGACCGAGACCAGACTGATGCCCTCAACAACCATCTGAACACCTCTACATGCAACACCAGCAGGCCCTGCCAGCATGGGCCAACCAAAGGAACAGAACGAAGGCAGCGCACAGTGGCACTCACAGGGGTCCCGTGCGATGAAATGTGCTCCGAGGGCGGGGTGAACGTTGGCAGGATTTGGTGTTGCCATTAGCTTGCTCTTGGCCATCTTGGTGTTGGCTTTGGCAAACTCTAGCTTCAGGGTCTGTGAGTTCTCAGGATCAAATCGAATACCCTACCAAGTTGGAGAGAGACACACTTTGTAGGACCCACGCTGTCAGCTGCCACAGAGGCGGAGTCCAGATAAAAGCTCACTCAGAAGACTTGTGCACACAAGTGCCAGCCAGCAGGAATGCTGGGAGCTTGTAACCGCATTGATCACAAACTGTGCAACCAAGGGCTCTGCTGTGGCATGGTTGGGGGAATAAGTCCATGGGCAGACCCTTTCCTTGGGTATGGAAAGGTGAAGAATTGTGGAAAATAGGACAGGGATAGTCAAAGCAATGTCTGTTCTCTGTCTACTTACATTCAGTGCATTCTTAGCTGCTTCGGCTCCTGCCCGGCTGTCAAAGATCACAAAACCAACAGGCTAAGAGGAAAAAGAAAGAACATCTTTCTTGCATTTCTCTTAACATTCCATCCCACCTCCAACACAAAACAAGCAAGCAAAAGAGAGACCACCACCGAAGAGGAGACAGTGAAATCTGAGGATTGAGGTTTGAAGCCAGCCTGGGCAAAAAGTCTTTGAGACTTATTATCCTGGGGCTTGAACTCAGGGCCTAAGGCAATGTCCTTGAGCTTTTCTCCAAGGTTATCATTCTACCACTTGAGTCTCGGTCACTTCAGTCTTTTTTTTTTTTTCTGAGTAGTTTCTTGGAGATAAGAGTCTCAGGGACTTCTCTGTCAGGACTGACTTAGAACCAAAGGCCTCATATCTCAGCCTCTTGAATAGCTAGGATTATAGGCATGAACCACCAGAACCCAGTTCTGAGACTGGCCTGAACTCTGGGCCTGAGCGTTGTCCCTCAGCTCTTTAGCTTAAGGCTAGAGCTCTACCACTTGAGCCACCTTCCCAGCCCAGTTCTGAGACTCTTATCTCCAATTAATCAAAAAGCCAAAGAAGCTGGGTGCTGGTGGCTCCAGCTCATAATCCTACCTGTTCAGGTAGATCCCCAGTTTAAAGTCAGTCCTAGCAGGGAAGTGGGTGAGACTCATCTCCAATTAACCACTAGAAAACCTAAGTGGAGCTGTGGGTCAAAGTGGCAGAGTACTACATTTGAGTGAAAAATCTCCAGAGCTGGATGTCAGTGGCTCACACCTGTAATCTTAGCTACTCAGGGGGCTGAGCTATCTGAGGATCACAATTTGAAGCCAGCCTATGCGGGAAAAATCCATGAAACTCTCATCTCCAATAAACTACAAAGAGAAGTCTGGAAATGGAGCTGTCCCTCAAGTGGTACAGCACTAGCCTTGAGCAGAAGCAGCTCAGAACAGCACCCAGGCCCTGAGTTCAATGACCAATTAAAAAAAACAAACAAACAAAAAAACAGCCAAAGAAGAACTGTGGCTTAAATAGTAGATCATCAGCCTTGAATGAAAAAGCCAGAACATGAGGCCCTGATTCAAGCTCCAGTGCTGGCACTGAAAGAGAGAGAGGCGTGGAGGGACCATAGGGTAGCCAGTTCAGCGAGGTAGCACTTGCCTAGCATGTATAAGCTCTTGGGCTTAATCCCTAGGACCACAAACCAACAAAAAACTATCGTCTAACTAAAAGTCTTTGTCCTGATGAGAAGATAATGGAGAAGAGTAAACATCTTGTCTCTGCCTTCCTAAGGTGCAACTGGAGTGGCAAAAACCACACTTGAGGTCCAGCCTTCCTCCTCCCTCCCCAGTCCCAGGACTACACGGTGGGAACAGACCATTCCCCCCTCCCACTGCATTGAACATCACCATTCCAGTGGAATTTTTTCCTTTTTTTTGTCAGTTGTGGAGCTTGAACTCAAGGCCTGGGCGCTGTCCCTGCACTCTTCAGCTCAAGGAGAGAGCTCTACTGCTTGAGCCACAGAGCTACTTCTGGTTTTCTAGTGGTTTGTTGGAGATAAGAGTCTCAAGGGGCCGGGTGCTGGTGGCTCACACCTGTAATCCTCGCTACTCAGGAGGCTGATATCTGAGGATCTCAGTTCAAAGCCAGCCCTGGCAGGAAAGACTGAGACTCCCATCTCCAATAAACCACCAGAAAACCAGAAGTGGCGCTGTAGGTCAAGTGGTAGAGTGCTAGCCTTGAGCTGAAGAGCTTAGGGACAGCGCCCAGGCCCAGAGTTCAAGCTCAAGCCCCACAACCGACAAAAAAAAAAAGTCTCACGGACTTTCCTGCCTGGGCTGGGCTGGCTTTGAACCGTGATCATCAGATCTCAGTCTCCTGAGTAGCTAAGATGACAGGTGTGAGCCACCAGCGCCCAGCTCCAGTAGAATTCTTTTTAAATGTATGTGGACGGTGCTGTGTACCAAGTTCATCAGCCCAGACCCCACAAGGCAGCGGAAGCCTCTGAACCCGGGCCTCATGCACCAGGGGTCAGAGCTCAGGTGCCATCTCTTCTGTTCTCAGGCTGGGGGTGGGGTGGAGAGGGGCAGGCAACTTCCCTGAATCCTCAATGACAGCAGCTCAGGAGCTGCCCTGGCCTGACTGGATAGTGAGGAAGAGGAGGAGGGACCTGGAGGCCACCCTGACTTCAGGCTAAGATAGAATGGGACAACAGGTACCTCAACCTTAGGGAAAGGCAACAGGCCTCAGTTCCACACCCAGCAGCCAGCCTGTGCTGAGAGCAAGAAAACCTAGAAGAGAAATTACCTGTCTGGAGGTGAGCTTGATCAGAGACCCTTCGTAACCCTGCGGAGAGAGGGGGCCGTCACGGGGGGAAGAAGGTCAGAGGCTTTGATTGTGCTAAACCAGCTTTATCCCCACCAGCCTCAGCTCTTCCCAGAGTTCCTCTGAATCCTTTTCCCCTTCTCCCCCAACAAAGGAGATCTACGCTGACCCTCACAACATACCAATCTCCCAGTGCCTGTGTTCAGAATCACGTGGTCTGGCACATGGAGTAGCATGATGTAGGGCACTCGTGTTTTTTCACTGACATGTAGTAAGAGCATGGGCCTTACCTTTTAACTTTTCTCATCTCTAAGTGGAAAAGACTACACTGAATTGCCAAGATTCCTCATACTGCAAAGTCTGTTAAGATCAAAGGGCTTGGGGCTGGGTATGTAGGTTAGCGGTTGAGTGATTGCCTAGCATGCATGAAGCCCTGGGTTCTATTCCTCAGTACCACATAAACAGAAAAGCCTGGAAGTAGTGCTGTGGCTCAAGTGGTAGAGCACTTGTCTTGAGCACAGAGAGACTCAAGGACAGTGCCCTAGGCCCTGAGTTCAAGCCCAAGGACTGGCCAAAAAAAAAAAAAAAAATCAAAGGGCTACAGATAGATACAGCTCAAGTGGTAGAGCACCTGTCTAGCAAGAGTAAGGCTCAGAGTTCAAGTGTATAGTTGAAGACTCAGAGGCCTGAAAGGGCTAAGCAAGTGGCATAAGACGAGTGAATTTAACAGAACCAGACAGAGCAAGGTGAGTGACATTTTGACACTTTCCCACATCTTTCTGCAGCCCAGCACCAACCAGAGATTCATTCCTTATGCTTCTCCCTGATCTGACTCACCTTGAATGGCCGGAAAAGTAGATAAAGTTCTCTGGGCTTAATGTCCACGGGGAGGCCACTGACGAACAGTGTCCGGACCTGGGGACAGAGACCACAGTGGTCAGGGCCAGGCTACAAAGGAAGGACAGGGATGGTGCTCTTCCTCTAGTCTGGGAACTAGAGTCCTAGAACTTCAGGAGAAATTCAGTACTGCCTCCTCCAGACATTGAGGCAAAATAACATTCCCAGTGTCAAAGATTTGTCAAAGCCCCTTCTGTGTACCTTCCCTTTTTTTTGGGGGGGAGGGGTGTTGATACTAGGGCTTGAACTCAGGACCTGGATTTTAGCTTCTCTGCTCAAGGTTGACAATATACCACTTGAGTCACAGCTCTGCTTCCAGCTGTTTGGTAGATACATGGAGATAAAAGCCTTATAGACTTTCTTGCCTGGGATGGCTCTGAATCTCAGTCCTCAGATCTCAGCCTTGTGAGGAGCTAGGATTAGAGGTGTGAGCTACTGGTGTCCAGCTTACCTTTCTTTTCTAAGCCATCCTGGAGGTGTCACTCAGCAAGCAACTGCAACTTAATGTCCTTAAGCGTCCCAATGGCAGCAGAAAGGCCCTGATGGTTAAGCGCACCTGCCTTTCTTGTATCTTTTTCTTTTTTTTTTTTTGTTGGTCGTGGGGCTTGAACTCTGGGCCTGGGCACTGTCCCTCAGCTCTTCAGCTCAAGGCGAGCGCTCTACCACTTGAGCTACAGCGCCACTTCCGGTTTTCTGGTGGTTTATTGGAGATAGGAGTCTCACAGTCTCTCCTGCCCGGGCTGGCTTTGAACAGCGATCCTCAGATCTCAGCCTCCTGAGTAGCTAGGATTACAGGCGTGAGCCACCAGCGCCCGGCTCTTGTATCTTTTTCATCAAACAGGTAAAGCAGGCAATGCTAAACATTATGGTCAAAAGTTGGTGGTGAAGCCAAGTCTAAACACCAGCTGTGCATCCTGGGACTCCATCCAAACCTGACCACATGAGCCACTTGAGGTCCTGAGATAAGTCCTGCTTCCAGACCTCCAGGTGCTACTACTGTTTCTTTTTCTTTTTTCATAATTAATATATTCTGGTACAAAAAAATGAATTTTACAATTTTTTTTTTTGGTCAGTCGTGGGGCTTGAACTCTGGGCCTGAGCACTGTCCCTTAGCTCTTCAGCTCAAGGCTAACACTCTACCACTTGAGCTACAGGGCCACTTCCAGTTTTCTGGTAGTTTATTAGAGATAAAAGTTTCATAGACTTTCCTGTGTGGGCTGGCTTTGAACCTGGATCCTCAGATCTCAGCCTCCTGAGTAGCTAGGATTACAGATGCGAGCCACCGGTGCCCCACAACAATTTTATTTCTTTTTCTTTCTTTTTTTTTGGTCGGTCGTGGGGCCTGAACTCTAGGCCTGGGCGCTGTCCCTCAGCTCTTCAGCTCAAGGCGAGCGCTCTACCACTTGAGCTACAGCGCCACTTCCGGTTTTCTGGTTGTTTATTGGAGATAGGAGTCTCACAGTCTTTCCTGCCCGGGCTGGCTTTGAACCGTGATCATCAGATCTCAGCCTCCTGAGTAGCTAGGATTACAGGCGTGAGCCACCAGCGCCCGGCTAACAATTTTATTTCTTATGGTAGATCGTGTGTGTGTGTGTGTGTGTGTGTGTGTGTGTGTGTGTGTGTGTGTGTGTGTGTTTACTTCTTATGGTAGATCGTGTGTGTGTGTGTGTGTGTGTGTGTGTGTGTGTGTGTGTGTTTACTTCTTATGGTAGATCGTGTGTGTGTGTGTGTGTGTGTGTATTTCTTATGGTAGATCGTGTGTGTGTGTGTGTTTATTTCTTATGGTAGATCGTGTGTGTATGTGTGTGTGTGTGTTTATTTCTTATGGTAGATCGTGTGTGTGTGTGTGTGTGTGTGTGTGTGTGTGTGTGTGTGTGTGTGTGTGTGTGTGGTATTTTCTTTCTGGCTAGTCATGGGGCTTGAACTCTAGACCTGGGTGTTATCTCTGAGCTTCTTTTTTTTTTTTGGTCACTCATGGGGCTTGAACTCTGGGCTTGGGCGCTGTCCCTGCTCTCTTCAGCTCAAAGAGAGCTATTTACCTCTTGAGCCACAGCACCACTTCAGGTTTTCTATTGGTTTACTGGAGATAAGAGTCTCATCAACTTTCCTGCGTGGGCTGCTTTGAACCACGATCCTCACAACTCAGCCTCCTGAGTACCTAGGATTACAGGTATGAGCCACCGCAGGCTCTCTGAGCTTATTTTGCTCAAGGCAAGCACTTGAGTTCCACCTCTGGGTTTTTTGAGTGGTTTATTGGAGATAAGAATCTCATGGAGGGCTGGGAAGGTGGCTCAGTGGTAGAGTGCTAGCCTTGCATGCCTGAGGCCCTGGGTTCGATTCCTCAGCACCACATAAGCAGAAAAAGCTGGAAGTGGAGCTGAGGTTCAAGTGGTAGAGCGCTAGTATACAGCTGAAGAACTGAAGGACAGCGCCCAGGCCCAGAGTTCAGGCCCCACGGCCCAAAAAAAAAGAATCTCATGGACCTTTCTGCCTAGGCTGGCTTCAGATCTTCAGATCTCAGCCTAGTAGTTAGAATTACAGGCATAAAATCTTGGCACCCAGCTTATCTTTGTTTCTTAAGATAGGGTCTCACTATTTATAGCTCAGGCTGACCTCAAACTCTCAAGACTCCTCCAGCCTCTCCGGTACTGGAATTATAGGCATAAATCACCATACCCAGCTTATGCTACTATGTAAAGTCATTGCAACAGATACTAAGCTCATCCAGACTATCCCATAGCTGTGATGAGATGGAGGTTTTCCAGTTTAGAGCCATTAAAAACACATCTTGAAACTGTGGCTTCCTAAATAATGAAAGATCTGAATGAACAGTAATGACTATTTTGAAGGTCCCCAGTGCTGGTTTATGGAGAAGTGTACATGCCCCACCCTACTATGAAGCCACACCTGACAGCAGGTACTTGCTCATAACCTGGAGGTAACAGTCTCTTGGGTCTGTACGCCTAGGCTGATTTCAAACTTCAATCCTCAGATCTCAGTCTCCAAAGTAGCTAGGATTGCAGGTGTGAACCAAAGTTCCTGGCCTCTAGATTGTTTCCCCCCATTCGTGGGCCTTGAATTCTGGGCCTGGGCACTGTCCTTGAGTTCTTCAGCTCAAGATAAGCACTCTATCACTTAAGCCACAGTGCCACTTCTGGTTTTCTGGTGATTAACTGGAGATAAGAGTCTCGAGGCCTAGGGCTGGGGAGGTGGCCGAGTGGTAGAGTGCTTGCTTTGCATGCATGAGGCCCTGGGTTCGATTCCTCAGCACCACATAAGCAGAAAAAGCGAGAAGAGGCACTGTGGCTTAGGTGGTAGAGCGCTCACCTTGAGGTGAAGAGCTGAGGGACAGCCCCCAAGAGTTCAGGCCCACAGCTGACCAAAAAAAAAAAAAAAAAAAGTTTTGCGGACTTTCCTGCCTGGGCTGGCTTTGAACCACAGGCACCCAGATCCTCCAGATTGTTTGAGTCTTAGTAACATTTTTGCCTGATTTGTCTCAGATTGTCTTATAATCTCTGCCTCCCAAATAACTGAGATTAAAAGCAGTTACCACCACACCCAATCCATACACATTTTCTTTTTGTGTTGTTTTTGTGCTGGTGGGGGCTTGAACTCAGTGCCTGGGCACTATCCCTGAGCTAATTTTGCTCAAGGCTAGTGTACTACCACTTGAGCCACAGCTCCACTTCCAGCCTTTTTTTTTTTGGTTGGTCATGGGGCTTGAACTCTGGGCCTAGTTGCTGTCCCTGCGCTCTTCAGATCAAGGCTACACTCTACCACTTGAGCTAAAGTGCCAAGTCACTTCTGGTTTTCTGATAGTTAATTGAAGATAAGAGTTTCCTGGACTTTCCAGCAGGGGCTGGCTTTGAACCGAGATCCTCAGATCTCCTGAGCTGTTAGGATTATAGGCATGAGCCACCAGTGTCTGGCTACACCTTGTTCTTTTTTTTTTTTTTTTTTTTTTTTTTGGGTCCGGTCGTGGGGCCTGAACTCTGGGCCTGGGCACTGTCCCTCAGCTCTTCAGCTCAAGGCTAGCACTCTACCACTTGAGCCACAGTGCCACTTCCGGCTCTTTTCTTTTTGCTTATGTGGTGCTGAGGAATCGAACCCAGGGACTCAGGCATGCAAAGCAAGCGCCCTACCACTGAGCCACCTTCCCAGCCCCCACACCTTGTTCTTTAAAGGCAGTAGGATCCCTACTATACATACCTAGTCTGGCAGAGATGAGATCTGCCAGGAAAGGATAACAGGGCCTGAGTGCCCACTCTCAGGTAGTTCGGGTCTGCCCCTGAAGATGGGATAAGAGTGAGCACAAGCTGCCAGCTGGCTTGGACCCCACTCAGCAGTCCTTCTAGTCCCTCCTTTTAGGATGGTTTGGGTCAAGGACCCAGAGCCAGAGCAGCAACTCAGAAACCTCTGCCTCAGCCCGCCCCACAGCCCCCACATCTCACCCAGGCTAATTTTAATCCCTTGTTCAGATGGCTCCTTTCTGGCCAGACCTCCCCAGAGGCCCTTTAAATAGCAAGTTCTCAGCACAGAGTTCCCTGCTTGGGGTGGGGGTGGATCTTTTTCTCATCTCCAGCTCAGATTGTTTCCAGCCTTCTCGCTGGACCCCAAGATCCTTTTCCTCTGCTTTCTATCCTATAGGTTCTATAGTACCCAAGCCTACACCACAGCTCCTGCCTTTCAGGAAACAAAGCAGTCATGGCTTAGGGGATGTGCTTCTATCTTCCAGGCCCCAGACCCTATGTGAAGCCCAGCCTGGAAGGCTAAGTCACAGAATTCTGACCTGAATATCCTTTTACTTTGTTCTAGCCACCCTAGGAGATGACAGCCCCCAGCTAACTCCTTTGTCTAGCTTGCGACACTGAGGTCCAGAAAGGCTTGGTAACTTGCCATAAGCATGTTGATTTCGAGGGCAGAGCTGGATGAAACTGCAATACCTTGACTCCGAGCCCATGCAATCCACCTGAGCAGCCACATTAGCCCACAGCTCAGTGAAAGATTATCACATGTCA